TGCCATCATACGAGTCATTAACAACCGTGCTAATGAGTTCCATTACGCCAGGCCAGCTGCCCAAAGCGCCCTGGGACAGCCGGGCCCCACAAGCACACGCCTAGGAGTCTAGGTCTCCAGCCCCAGCGCTGGCAGGTGTCAGCACGCAAATCTGCTTCTGTTTACAGTCTTTTTTTCTTCTTTTCTGTCTTTTACAGAGAGACTTCTGATGAAGGGCTGGAGGCAGTGAGACAAACAGGGTGTCCCACCCTAGAAATGAAGCCCCTCTCCTCATGCTATCAGGTTTCTTTCCAGCCACCCAGGCTCCAGGCCTCTCCTTCCAATGGGCTGGACATTTTTAGTTGTCCCTTTTCTAGCCAAACCCACGGAGAACCAAAGTCTTGCACCCCCACAGGACAGTGGTTCCACAAAGGACTCCCCTGGGCTGCACAGATGCTCTTCAACAACTCCAAGAGCTGTTTTTTGTCTGACTACATGCTTTTAACTGGGATGGAAGATGACAGGTTCTCCTTGCCTGACCAGACCAAAGACACAGAGATATATCTGTGAAGATCAGTTCCCCAGACAGCCCTGCTTCTGCCCAGCTTTCCCTCAAGTGCCTCAGACAGCTGGGAGGCTCACAAATAGGAGTTGAGAATCTGTGGACTCAGCTTTAAGCCTCCCCTTCTCCAGACTGCTGGGCTGTAGACATAGCAGCTGGTAACATTTTAAATTAGAGGCTTACATTCACTTAACAACGTATTCAGCTTTGATTTACTGAAGGAATTACTGCATGTTAAATGAATACAAGCTGATTATTAAACAGACCCAGATTGCAACCTATCATCTATGCAAGAGATGGGATCTTATTACGATATTAGAACCATATTGAGGTTTAGCAACTGTCAATTGGTCCCTTGCAATTTGCACCAAGCCACTGCCCCATCGCCGTTTGCACCGAGAGACGCTTTGCCTGAGCCAGGCGGTCTCCAGCTGCTCCAGAGAAGGTCCCCCACCTAAGGGCAGTGCAAGGGAGGCAAAGCACGACTTGTCCCAGCCATACTCACCCCAAAGGGTCCAGGTCTTCCCCACCAACAGAGAAGGGGCTCAAGGGGGAAGGCCTGAAACACAGAACACAGCAATATGTTCAGTGGAGACCAGCTGCATGGAGCGAGCACGAGGAAGCATGCAGGCAGGGCCATGCTCACAGGTGCTCTCGCACGGCCTTCGGTCCTGCAGGACCCCATGTGAGTGAGCTGGTGTTGGAATCTCACCCCGTACCCAGGACACAGCATTCCCTGCTCTGGGGTGCTCTGGGGTGGACCCTGGTGTGCGTGGCAGGCTGGCAGGAAGTTGCTGAGATGAAGGGGGTCCTGCTGTTCCCACTGCTCCGGGCTGGAGCTGTCTGTGGATGCTGGGAGTTTCCATGCCAGGGGGTCCCCAAGCAGTGCCAGGCTAGGCCAGGCTCTCCAGCATGTCCCAGCCAGAGACACAGTAACAGTCTCACTTCCAGAAGTGTGAGGACAGTGGGGAGCTGAGCCCAGAGCCAGCTGTCACATCTCCTTGCCAATACTCTGTGCCAATAACACGGTTTTCTGAGCCATGCCCAGCTCCAGCTTGTCTGCCCAGGCCTCCCTGAGGAGCACCTCACACCCTGAGCACCAGCAGAAAGCAGTGGGGTTAAAGAAGCTAGAGGTGACATGCAAGGCAGAAGCCATGACCCGTCCCCAAAAGACGGCAGAGCCACCACAGCATCTCTGACTTCCAGCCAAAGGGGATTACAGCTTGTGGAGGGAGAGAGGGGGGAGCCTGCCTGCCAGGTACGAGGGACGGCTGGGCACGAAGGGGCCAGAGAGGGATGGTGAAGAGGGTGCCACGTGTCCCCTCTTCCCAGCTTGGCCAGCCAAGGGTTTCAAAGGAAAAGGGGGGTCACGAGAGCAAGCTCTGGTGTCCGTCCCAGAGGCTGCCTGGCCCCACAACAGCACCATCCTTCCCGTTGCTGTCCCTGCCCCGTCAGCCCCGAAGCCTCAACAGTCCCTCAGCCAGCAGAGAGCAGGGCCTCCCTCCTTCCACCCCACAGCTTGCGTCCTGCTTTCTCCTCCCTCCCCGGTCTGTAGGGCTCCAGCTCTGCCTCCAGGCAATGCCAAAGGAGGGCTCCAGAATGGGCCATCCCTCAGCAGGCAACCTAAATCAAACCCAAGCATTCAGCCAACTGGGCTCAAACTGGCAGGGGAGGGTTTGGATCTTTGCTCCCCATCCCACGCATGCAAGGCAGGGACCAGAGGTGTAGTTTGGAGAGCTGTGCCAGGACCACATCCTGTCCAACAGAGGACCATCAGCAGCCCCCCACTCGCTCTTTACTCACCAGGATGGTGCTCTCGTGCCTGCTGGCTGCCGGGGAGGGACCCTGAGGGGGTCGTAGTCCCGGAGCAAGTCAGGATCCTTCTTCTCAGCCTCAGGCTCCTTTTCAGCTTTTTCTATGGGGGCCCCGAGGGGAGCAATGATGCCCGAAGCAATCCTTGTCCTCAGCTCCTCGGTGTTCTTGTACACCCTGTGTGAAGGAGAGGCGAGGCAGAGGGCTAAGAAAGCTGCGGCACCCGGGCGTGACGGCAAGAGGGTTGCTGAGGGACAAGCCCAAAGTGTCCCTGGCACAAACCACAGCTCCAGCTGGCAGCACACAGGGGACAGAAAAGATGGCAGCAAAACTCTCACCCCATTTGAGATGGCAGAGGTGCCACCCAACACCGGGAACTCCCTTGTGCTGTGGCCATGACTCGACCAGTCTGGACTGGAGGAAACCACGGCATGTGGCACTGGTCTTTAGCAAGGCCACAAGGTGTTTGGGATATGGTTGTCCACCCAGCACAGACAGGCAGGCAATGCTCTGGAAATAAAACTGCTGGGCTGGCCTGGCCTGTTCCTAGGTGGGGCGACGCTCTCCTGGGCTCTGACTCACAATCCTGCTATCCCCTAAATCTCTCTTGCCTGCCAGCAGTGCAGAGGGAGGCATGGAAGGGAGCTCTGGCTGAATTTCAGAGCTGTTTGCCTGCCTCTGGCGTTTGTACTGGGGAAGAAAGTCCCCCAGGCTCCTCCTAACCTGGTCTCTGCCCCACTCCCCATACCAGTGGGACACTTTCTCCTGCAGAAAATATCAGGGAACTGAGATTACTTGTGGAAATCGTCCAGATGCTCTGGGTTGATGTAGTCGGCCACAGCCAAGGTCACATCTGCCACCTTCTGAGAACTGCGATCCTGGCAAAAGACAGGTAGAACACGGAGTCAGCAGCCCAGCAGAGCTGGGAATGAGGGAAGGAGCAGGTACACATCTTCTGCTGCACAGGCAGCCCCTGACGCCCCCTGGGTCTGCCCCATCCTGAGGGACAAATACCACTGCGAGGTAGAAAAAGCAACAGCAAAAATGTAAGAACTGGGCTGTGCCGTTCTTTGCAGCTGCTGCTCCTGAAGGACCCCTAACCTGTAGGGACCAGCATGGCTGCTCACCATGACGTTGAGGATCATACTGTCTTCCACCATGATGGCCTTCAGCAGCAGCTCACGGGCATCATCCGTGGACTTGTAGCGCAGCGTATACACCTCCTTGTTGGCCTCCCAGCCAGCGGGCAGCAGCTCCGACTTTTTTTCATCAGGACCCGGCTGCAACACAACAGAAGTGCTGCTGAGACCCTGCCCAGGAGCCCAGCACGCTGCAAGGCTGGGCCAGGGCCTGTCTTGGCTGCACAGAGATCCAGGAGGGGATTCAGGTCTCCAGGAGGGGATCTAGGTCTCCAAGAAGGGATCTCTCAGTGTCTTCCAGGTTCTGACAGCATCAGCAGGGCTTTATTTCCTATGGGCTGGCTCTACTTGCTTGTTGCTCTCCCATAGGGTCCCTTCACTGGAACAGGAGGGACACAGCCACCCCTGGCTGAGCAGGAGGAGGCAACAAACACCCAGACCGGGGGATGCTGCTCTTCCCTGCCTGGCAGCTGTGTGGGGCGGGTGGGGAGCGCCATCATCCCTGTTGGTCCCAGCCCCACAGCAGCGCTGCCCCACACTTCCTTCCTCTAGTACTTTTTATTTTCTAAATGCCAAGACCGTGCCCTGCGCCCCCACCACTG